AAAGAGAAGAGGGAGAAGAGGACACGAGAGATGAGGAGGAAGGACTAACGCTTGGTCGCTTAGCAACCATGGTGCGAATGGCCACTGAAACTAAGCGAGTAGCTGAGGAATGGGACCCTTTGATGAGCCGTTCATTACAGTTCTCCAACGTAATCGATGGTGGCATGTCGGTGTACAAGGATCTTTTTGCAAAGAAGAAAAAAGAGCGACAACAGCTGCCTATCACTATGTTCTTCTCCCGAAACAACACACCTGCACCGCGGGCTTCAGAAGAAGAGAACACTGCAGAGCGCAGTCAGGATGCAGCGGCCCAGTCTGAAGAGCAGTGAAACGGCCTACACGTGAGTCACTGTATTTGTATACATGTAATAGTTGCTAATTGTAAAAAAAAAAAGTTTTCTATTTCGCGGATTTCACTTATCGCGGGTCATTTTCGGAACGTAACCCCCGCGATAAACGAGGGATTACTGTATTTATTATTGCAATGGCGGAACATTGATACATTACATTTACTTTCGTCATTTAGCAGACGCTCTTATCCAGAGCGACTTACAAATAGGTGCATTCACCCTATAGCCAGGGGGATAAACCACTTTACATATCTTTTTTTTTTTTTTTTTTTTTTTGGGGGGGGGGGGGGGGGGGGGGGAGGGGGGGGGGGGGGGTGGTGTTTTTCCTTTTTGCTTTTTTTTTTGTTTTTGGGTTTTTGGGTTTTTTTATGGTGGTGTGTTGGGGTTTTTTGAAAGGGGTTTTTTTTTTTTTTTTTTTTTAAATTGGTTTTTGGGGGGGTTTTTTGGGGGGTGGTGGGGTTTTTGGGGGGGGTAAGGGGTTTTGTTTTTTTGTTTTGGTTTTTTTTGGGGTTGGGGGGGGGGGGTTTTTTTTTTTTTTTTTTTTTGGGGGGGGGGGTTTTTTTTTTTGGGCGGGTTTTTTGGGCTTAAGGGGGGGGGTTTTTTCTTTTTTTTTTTTTTTGGGGGGGGGGGTGGGGGGGTTTTTTTTTTTTTTTTTTTGTTTTTTTTTTTTTTTTTTTTTTTTTTTTTTTTTGTTTTTTTTTTTTTTTTTTTTTTTTTTTTTTTTGGGGGGGGGGGGGGGGGTTTTGGTTTGGGTTTTTGTTAAACCTTTTTTTTTTAAAAGGGGTTTTGAACGGTGTGCCCCTATTGGCTGGTAGGTGGGAGGTTTGAGACTGATTGTGAATGAAAAAGAAAATATTTATTTCTCCTCCCTCCCTTTTTAATTAATAATTTAATGCTAAATTTCCAATAGATGGGAATAGCCCACGACACTTTAGGCATAAGAAATATTTTTACTAAAATCATAACCCAAAAATTATTCCCATGATTTTCTAAAATGGTCACTCTTTACTTTACAGTTAGCTATATATCTCGTATTAGGCCTGTGTTGCTTTTGGGTGAGCAAAAAGACAGTGACTATAACAGGTATTGAACCCCGGCCAAATAATCACTAGTCAGATGCACTAGCCTCAACCCTAACAGACATGCATTATGAAAACACCCTCTTAACGTATCATATTGGGAGTAAACCGCCTCGGAATAGAAAAGACGAGTGCGTCTTCCAGCCCGCCAATAAATTACGTCATGCAACCCTCGCGGTTAGCAAATTTACCTCAACATGTCCCTCGCTTGCGCGAGAAGAGAAGGCGGAGCGCTCGCTGCCGCTGATGGCACAAGCTTTTGGCGGGGCTTGTTGAGTTGGCTACTTTTGCAAGAAGGCTGAGCGGGTGGATGCTGGTTGATGAATTTGACATTAATTGTACTAGGAAAATATGTTTTTGTCGACCAGAGGTGACTGAATGTTCAGGCTTATTGATAATTGTTATAGTAATGAAGTATTATTTCTAAACAGGTAATAAACATGAATCATTATATTACTTCCCAGTAATCTGTTAAATGCTTTTTCAGTCCTTCTTCTTGCGTTAGCAGTGTGGAAAGGGACAGTAAAAAGTGCGTGCAGGCTGTTTTTCAGCCTTTGGTGAATTTTGACTCAATCTATTGTCCAGCCTATCTGTAGTTCCCTATATCCCCTGACTCTATAGTCCATTATATCTCCTCTCTCCAGCCCGCTGTCCCCTATCCGTTGTCCTATAGTCCCCTATATCCTCTGTTCTCTCTCACCTATTCTACTATTCAGCATTACCCATTTCCTATCACAACCTCTCCCTTGTCTATTCTCCCTCCCCTTGTCTTTGTCCTAAATCACCTAGTCAACTATTGTCCTCTATCCCCCTCACCCGTCTCTCCCTGTCTCCCCTCTCTCCCACCCTCATTCCCCCTCACACCCCGTCTCTCCCTGTCTCCCCTCTCTCCCACCCTCATTCCCCCTCACCCCTCTCTCCCTTTCTCCCCCTCTCTCCCACCCTCATTCCCCCTCACCCCTCTATACATCTCCTCTCCTTCACCCCCCCATCCTCCACCTCCACCAGCCCCGGAGAGAGCGCCCTGCCTGCCTGGTTCTCTGTCTGCCTGCAGGGTCTGTGTTGTGTGGGGAGTGATGGTGCACGGCCGCCTGGGCCCTGCCCCAAAGCCTGGATTTCCATGTAAGACTGTGGTTGCCGACAATAACCCCAGATTCTGGGCCCCGGCACCCAGCCAGCACAGGACAGGAGCCTCGGACAGCACAAGCGACTGCCAGGTCTACGGCTCAGCCCAAGTATAAGCCTCAGTCACAGCCGCAACCAGGGCAGATGGCAGCAGTGGAGAGAGATGGAAGGAGATGGAGGAAGAACGAGAGAGAGACGGAGAGAGAGAGAGACGGGGAGAGAGAGAGGGAGAGAGAGTTCGATAGAGAGAGAGAGAGACGGGGAGAGAGAGAGGGAGAGAGAGTTCGATAGAGAGAAACGGGGAGGTGGAGGGGAGATGAGAGATAATTGAGGGAGTGTGTTTGAGAGAGAGAAAAGAAGTGAAGCCAGTACAGTAGATACCAGAAAGGACTCAAAGGATGAGCCACAACATAGGGGCTGACCGAGGGAGCCAGCAAAGATGTATAGGAACCAGAGTCCAGAAGAGTGACTAAGGAACTATCTACTGTATAATCAGTCCAATCAGTAATTTAGCTATCAGGTCTGTATAGTTTTGCCACAACAATATCTCAAATAATATTCACTACTTGTATTGACTTGTAACACCTTCACAGTGATGCTGTATTGTAATCGTATGATACTATGATCTGCATCAGATCCAATACATTCTATTTTAGCACAGTTGGTGACCACTCTTCCAACTTTCTTTACCAATCCATAATCTCTCCCTCTCTCTCCCCCACCACTCTTCTCCTCCGCCCTCCTACCTTTCTCATCAGTGAATAAATCTAATAAAATAGAGAATCAGGGGCCTCCTGCACCATGCAAGTGTTATTTACACCACCTCATGGATGAGTCCCAAATGGCACCCTATTGCCTATATAGTGTACTACTTTTGACCAGGGCCCATAGGTGTGTCCCTGTGTGTGACCAATCATCAGCCTTTCTTCAGGCCTTCTCTCTAGACCAATCAGAGGGCTTTCTTCAGGCCCTCTCTCTAGACCAATCAGAGGGCTTTCTTCAGGCCCTCTCTCTAGACATTGACCCCACTTAGCATCATGTCTGTCTGTCTGTCTGTCTGCTGCTGCTGGGATAAAGTGCCTATACACTGCCTATACACATGGAGAATGAATTAGTTGCGTTGCGGAACGACGCTTGATCGAACAGGAAGTGTCCACTGTGATATGCATCTGCGAGGGTCGCCCACAAAGACTACCATAGGACCAGCTTTCCTCATATCCAACTATGTTTTGAACATAAAGTGGTTAAAAACACTGTCCCCAGACTAGTAGTTAGTATACACGTGGAAACTTCCTGACTGCAAGGGATGTAGCCTATGCATCCAATAGAGGGTTACAGGTAGCTACATTAAAAAGCGCTAGAACAGGGCTCTCCAACAGGTCGATCCCCAGCTACCAGTAGCTCGCAGCCCACCTATGAGTAGGTCGCCAAACAATTCTGAAAGTGCATGTATCTTTAACGTGTTCCACCGCAAACTGTCATAAACAAATCTCACACGTATCAGACACACCGCAAGCTCCCAGCTACTATCTAATCAACGCAACATTGACATTATCCCATCCCTGGTTAGCCACTATTGACTTAAAAAGCCAAACCTAACACACTATCTGCCAATTCATTTCCAGCAATATTGCTCCTGTCTGTCTGTGTGGCGCACACGTTTGTCAATCACTCCGTGTGTAGCCATCTTGTAGGTTGACAGAAATACTTTCCCCAAAACCTTCTCAATTAAATGTCAACTGCAAAGTAGGCTTACCTGGCAGAAGTATATCATGAGTAAGTACATCATTTGAATTTATTATTTAGATCAAACTTGGCCATGAAATGAGCAGCAGCGGTACAGAACCATCCCTAGACCGACACATTAGACGGCACATTCCTCACTCTCTAGCTGCGCAATTAAAGGGCCAGATGGGAAATTAAAGGGGAAGAACACAAAAAAAAATCTAAATTTGTTAGTTTTCTTCCAGACCTACAAAAATGCTATTCAGATGTGATTAAATAATAATTTGGGAAAATATAAAACAGAATTTGGGAGAAAACAAATCTCTGATTTTATAAACCCCCCCCCCGCCCCCCCCCCCCCTTATAGTTGTTTATTAACCATTATTTGACCAGGTTTATTGACAGAACACATAGTGCACTACTTTCTCTTGTCCACTAAGGACCCGGGGAAGAGTTGCAGGTGAGAGAAGAGAAGAATGTGCCTATTTGAAAGCTAGAAAAAAATGACTAGCTCGTGACATATTACATTTTTAAAAAGTAGCTCTCATGCTAGAACTTGTTGGAGACCTCTGAGCTAGAAGGTACTGGTACAAGGAACAAACTAACATTATCTAATCATGAAGCTGGCTGAGAATATTGGTGCAGTGAGCTATCAAACACTATATATTATATGACAATTGGACCGTGGATTTCATTGGTCCATTGATCAGGGACCTCATCGTTAGGCGGCGTCGAGTGACTCACCTCTGATGATGGAGAGCTTGGCGTTGACGTTGACCTCACCCTCGCTATTTTCCGCCACGCACTCGTAGATGTTCTCGTCCCGCGGCGCTCGTAGAGGCTGGATCCGAAGGACGGCGCCGGCGCCCTCGTCGAACTCTATAGTCTGTGGCAGAGAGAAGGGGCAACTTTAGAGCGATCTGTTTTTCAGTTAAAGACAACCTAACTATTCTTCTAGGAGCTAGACTTCTCCACTAGCTCATAGGGACGCCTTCATTTCACCATTTTATTCACTGCAAAGCTTCAAAATGTGAGCCAGGACATCGCTATGCTAGTCCAGTGGCCAAGTCTTAAGAGAACGTCACCATAGGATAAGGTTTGCTTTTAGGTTTAATGTATTCAAATTGGCAATTATGATTCGATATAAGTACCTTTTCAGAGTATAAACCCTCATTCTCAGCCATGTCTATTAATCACCATAACATAACTGTCAGTGTGCTCATAGATCGCGCTATACATGTGATTTTACATGTGATCTCAGTATTATATAATGAAGAGAACACACGTGTGGATCGATGCGGTTGACCGAGTGAAGTGATGTATGGAGGTGCTTGTTGTCAGCCGAACGGTTCAGCGTCGAGTCATGATGAATCTCAAGGCTACAGTGCTAATGTGGAAACAGCACTGTGACTGAGTCCAGATCAATATCAAATCAAAAAGCTGCTGGAGGGGGAATGCAATGATTTCTTTCGATCATAAAATTACTGTTTAAAAGCAAGAAAATAGCAATAATTTGACAGTCCTGTACTGTGCTGTACTTGTCCTGTACTTGTCCTGTACTCGTCCTGTACTGTGCTGTACTTGTCCTGTACTTGTCCTGTACTGTCCTGTACTTGTCCTGTACTGTACTTGTCCCGTACTGTCCCGTACTTGTCCCGTACTGTCCCGTACTTGTCCCGTACTGTCCTGTATTTGTCCTGTGTTTTTTTTAAATGTGCTCTTCTTCATGCCAGGTTTCTGTCTTCTTCTCTGTGTGTGTGTGTCTGTTGTGTGTATGTGTGTATGTGTGTGTATGTTCTTCCCAGAATTCTTAGCAGATGATATTTATCTCGTTTTCCTTCTTCTGCTCTTATCAATGCCCAAGTTCTTCCCTTCTCTTATTCTCTCCTTCTCTTCTTCCCTTCTTCTCTTCTTATCCTCTTCCCTTCTTCTCTTCTTCTCTTCTTCCCTCTTCTCTCCTTCTCTTCTTCTCCTCTTCCCTTCTTCTCTTCTTCTCTCCTTCTCTTCTTCTTCCCTTCTTCTCTTCTTCTCTCCTTCTTTTCTTCTCCTCTTCCCTTCTTCTCTTCTTCTCTCCTCTTCTTCTCCTCTTCCCTTCTTCCATTCTTCTCTCCTTCTTCGACTTCTCTTTCTCCTTCTTCTTCCCTTCTTCTCTTCTTCTCCTTTTCCCTTCTTCTCTTCTTCTCTCCTTCTCTTCTTCTCCTCTTCCCTTCTTATTTTCTTCTCTTCTTCTCTCCTTCTCTTCTTCCCTTCTTCTCTTCTTCTCTCCTTCTTTTCTTCTCCTCTTCCCTTCTTCTCTTCTTCTCTCCTCTTCTTCTCTCTTCCCCTTCTTTCTCTTCCTTCTCTTCTTCTCTTCTTCTCTCCTTCTCTTCCCCTCTTCTTCTCTTATAATATAATAATAATATGCCATTTAGCAGACGCTTTTATCCAAAGCGACTTACAGTCATGCGTGCATACATTTTTGTGTATGGGTGGTCCCGGGGATCGAACCCACTACCTTGGCGTTACAAGCGCCGTGCTCTACCAGCTGAGCTACAGAGGACCAATCTTCTCTTCTTCTCTTCTTCTCTTCTTCCCTTCTCCTCTTCCCTTCTTCTCTCCTTCTCTTCTTCTAAGTACGCTGGCAGTGTCGTTAACGTGGCTGTGTGTGTGTGTTAGCACAAGAGTGTGTATGTGTGTGTTAGCGAGTCTGTGTGTGTGTCTGTGTGTGTGTGCTGTCGGTGCGAGGAGTGAGTTTTAATTAAGGAAACCCTGAGCATCAATCATGACTTTAGAGACACCATCTGGGCTCACACAGAGACACACAACAAACAAATATCATAAATAACGCACAGCGTGCGTAAGGGGAAGTAGACCTGGCACGCCACTACCAGAACCAAACGTCCCAGTACAATCTATTTACACTGTGGCATGTCATATCACTAAACATGCCGTGGTTTCTTATAATGCCTGGTTAAATTAAAACCATTGTCTGTCGTGACAACTCATTGTGATGTAGTTTGTGTACTAGTTTAAGGAAATATGAAGTAAATAATCTACCGACTAGGGGTGTAACGATCCATCTACTACATCGATATATCGATTTATATTCCTATGATCCAACTACATCGATCTGTGCTCGGCGAGTTGGCCTTTTGGACAACATATATCAATCTAACATCGTTTTAAAATGTAATAAATCGATTGTATCGATACTAGGAAATAACCCATTGGATTTTAAGCACGTCAGACTTTATATGGATGTTTTTTCTTAGCACTTTTAATGATAAAGGCTTTAAACATTACTCGATTCAGTCTGCCTATCCGTGACGTCATCGCCCCGCGCCAGCAGCAGCGCAAAGGCGCAAAGACAACAAAACATAGCATGGCGGACGACAGAGGAGAAGCCGACGAGCGAGAAATTATCAGCCACCATTGCGGGTCCTTACAAGAAACAGGAATCTAGGAAACTTCACCTGCACTGTCCAGTATCCAGGTATTTATTTCAGTCACACTGGTTGAATTTTTGGCTAAAAGGTTACTGAATCGATTTCAAGTCACTGAATCGTTTCGGATCGTATCGTTCTAAATGAACCAATATCGTCCTTGAATCGTATCGACAACCACGAATCGTGATACAAATCGAATCGTTGTTAAAACGAATCGTTACACCCCTACTACCGACCTAACCTTGGTGAAACAGAGAAGTGATACATCCATATCAAATGAATGAATAGACATGTTTGGCTCAGTTGGTAAAAGCACTAGCAATGCCAGGGATGTGGGTTTGATTCCTGTTGGGGCCAAATATACACTCACTGTACTGTAAGTTGCTTTGGATAAAAGTGTCTGCTAAATTGTATTTATTATGTATATTATATGAATATGGGGAGTGGGGGCTATTCATTATTCCATACTACCTCCACAACAGTAGGGGGCAGTGTAGGGTTACAAGGTTACACTGTCTCACCTCAATGCGCTGGGAGTTGACTTTCTTCCCCTTCTTGTTCCAGCTCACCCGGGGCTTAGGGTCTCCTGTCGCCTGGCACACGAACGAGACCACACCCCCCGGATACGCCAATCTGGTCGACGGGAACTTTAGTGAACCTTGGTGGTGCTGGAACGAGGGAGAGATAGAGAGAGAGAGAGAGGAGAGAGAGAGAGGAGGAGAGGAGATGAGAGAGGAGAGGATGAGAAGAGGGAGGAGAGGAGAGAGGAGGAGAGAGAGAGAGACGAGAGAGAGAGAGGAGAGAGAGCGAGAGAGGGAAGAGAGAGGGAGAGGAGACAGAGAGAGGAGAGAGAGAGAGAGAGAGAGAGGCGAGAGAGAGAGAACTTCAGAGAAGAGGGAAGAGAGAGAGAGAGAGAGAGAGAGTGAGAGGAGAGAGAAGAGAGAGGGAGAGAGACCGAAGAGAGACGAGAGCGAGGAGCGAGAGAGAAAGAGAGAGAGAGAGAGGAGGGAGAGAGGAGAGAGAGAGAGAGAAGAGAGTGAGGAGGAGAGAAGGGAGACGAGAGGAGAGAGAGACGAGAAGACGAGATAGAGATCAGGAGTGAAGGAGAGAGAGAGAGAGAGAGAGGAGAGGCGAGGAGGAAGGCGAGAGAGAGAGAAGCGGAGAAAAAGGACGAAGGGAACACAAAAAGAGGGACGGGGAACACACAAACACGCACACAACACACACCAAATTAAAACTTTAATGTGTCTCATGAGAGGCAATGATGGGGACGGGGGGGGACTACTTGCTTGAGTGTTGAGTGGGCTTCGAATCCATCATTCCTCTGCTGTTATAATTTCAGACGGAGCGACGAGAGGACCTGGAGGACGCGGGTAAGAAGGAAGGGAGAGGAAGAGAGCAGCCATTGGGGGGGGGGGGGGGGGGGGGGGGGAATTCCAACAAGAGGTAATAAACTACACAGAAAAATGTGCACCCTGTGTCACCTGACACCTGACACCCTGACACCTGACGCCCTGACCACCTGGCCCCTGATGACCTGGCACCCTGACAAACTGAGCCCTGGACAATGACACCCTGAAAACTGACGCCCCTTGATTACCTGACGCCTGGGAACACTGACACTGACACCCTGATACTGACGCCTGACACAAATGACCACATGACACCTGATGCCCTGACCTCGACACTGACACACTGACACTGACACCCTGGAAAACTGACGCCATTGACACCTGACTCCCTGACCACCTGACGCCATGACACCTGACACCCTGACAATCTGACGCCCTGACACCTGATACCCTGACAACCTGATTCCCTGACACCTGACGCCCTGACAACCTGACGCCCTGACACCTGACACCCTGACAACCTGACGCCCTGACACCTGACTCCCTGAACCGTGACGCCATGACACCTGACACCCTGACACCTGACGCAATGACACCTGACACCCTGACACCTGATGCCATGACACCTGGCACCTGACTCCCTGGCACCTGACGACCTGCCACCTGACGTCCTGCCACCTGACGCCCTGACACCTGACGCCCTGAACCGTGACGCCATGACACCTGACACCCTGACACCTGACGCAATGACACCTGACACCCTGACACCTGATGCCATGACACCTGACACCCTGACTCCCTGACACCCTGACACATGACACCCTGACACCTGACACCCTGACAACCTGACACCTGACACCCTGACGCCCTGACACCTGACACCTGACAGCTGACACCCTGACAACCTGATTCCCTGACACGCTGACTCCCTGACACCTGACACACTGACGCCCTGACACCTGACAACCTGAATACCTGACACCCTGACGCCCTGACACGCTGACACGCTGACACCCTGACACCTGACACCCTGACAACCTGACACCCTGACAACCTGATACCCTGACACGCTGACACGCTGACTCCCTGACACCTGACACACTGACACCTGACAACCTGATTCCCTGACACCCTGACGCCCTGACACGCTGACACCTGACACCCTGACAACCTGACACCCTGACACCTGACACGCTGACACACAGACACCCTGACACGCTGACACCATGACACCTGACGCCCTGACTCCTGACACCCTGACGCCCTGACACGCTGACACCGCTGACACCCCTGACACCTGACACCCTGACAACCTGACACCCTGACACCCGACGCCCCCCTGACACGCTGACACGCTGACGCCCTGACACCTGACGCCCTGACACCTGACTCCCTGA